CACACACACACACACACACCACACACACACACACACACACACACACACACACACACACACATACATACACGAACGCACCCACACATACACGAACACACACACACTCGCACACGCACACGCGCACGCACACACGCACACACAGTGAAAGAGAGAGAGAGAGACAAAACAGACAGACAGACAGACAGATAGAGATCGACAGACGCATAGGCACAGACAGACAGACAATTTTTTTTGTATGTGAGCATGATATTACATAAAAATGCTTAAGGATTAATATGAGTTCCTGCTAAATCAAAATCAACAAAGAAAACGAAAAAAATAGAATGATAATAATAAAAAAGCAGTACTAGATGTTAAGTGAATATTAACTAATTGATTAAATGATAATAGTAAAAGATCCAAAACGGTGCCTCATTTCCCCACACGATCCTTCCTCCGTAGAATCTACAAGGACGTGACTGGGATTCCTCTCTCCTGGAGGCAGCGACCACCCACCTCCTGAAGGACCTCCCACTCGCTCCTTCGGCTCCTGGGGGCATGGTGGAGTACCGTCGGGCGCTCACTATAAGGTACAAATCCTTATGGTGTTTTAACTTTTCACGGTGGTTTTCGGGTTGTTAATTTGGATTGTATGTGACAAGAGAGGTTGTGGTTGATTTGGTGTTTGTAAAGAGGACGAGGTTGGTGAGTAAAGAGGGATTTTGGTCATTGGTATTACTTTTCCTTTTGATATTCGGTGCTCAAAAAGATCGTTTAAAAAGTTATTCAATAAAAAAAAATCCGAGAAATTTAGTTCTCTGTGGTTATAATATTCTGTTTCTTAGGTAAAAAAAATCATTTCTCGCAATCCATTCGTCCCCAGTTTCTTCTTCAAGTTCTACCTGAGTGTTCGCGGACGGCTCAGCGAGAAGCTTCCGTCACTGGTGGAGCCTTTGACAGAAGACGAGCGGAGGGTGACCTTGGTGCATCAACACACGACTCCTAAGAGCACACAACTCTTCCAGACGGTGAGGATTATAACTTCTTAGTTTAGCTTCTAGAGGGCTTTGCGTAGTGTATAAACATTGCCAATACGTAGATCTGGTGGATGGGAGAAATAACTATAGTGATGACATAGTGATGCGAAACCCCGCTTTGCGTACGTGGGCTTTGAAGTGTTAGCTTTTGATAAAACTGTCCTTTTTCTTACGGATTTATTAGAGATTAACCAGAGCATCCACTTTTTTCCCGTCGAAGGTCTCGCCAGGTCAGGATAGGTTCGACCCCATAGGCAGGCCGATGACCCACGCCGCTGCCTTCAAGCAGGCCGCCGGAGAGGCCGTGTACGTGGACGACATGCCGCACTTCCAGAACGAACTGTACGCGGCGGTGGTCCTCTCAACCAAAGCCCACGCCAGGATCCTCAGCATTGACGAGTCCGAAGCCCTGAAGGTCGAGGGCGTTGTGAGGTTCTTCTGCGCGAGGGACATCCCGGGTTAGTCTGTGTTGCGTGGAAGGTCCGTTTGGAGTCGAGTAGATTCCGATGGAACTTTGTGATAATGTTATTTTTTATGCTTGCTGATAAGGTTTTATTGGTTTCTTTTGATTAAGATAAACAAGGGGGGTTAGATGTACTTTATGTACTTTTCAAAGATTCAGTTCGACATAAGAAATCAAACGTTTCTTTTGATTAAAATAGAGGAGGGTTTAAATATACCTTATGTCAATAACTATTCAGGGTTTCGATTCGACGTAAGAAATCAAACATTCCTCCAAACATATTATTACCACAAAAAGATACTGTAAGCTAATGACTCGAAATGACTCAACAGACGAGAGAAACAAGACAGGTTGTATTTTACCGGACGAGGAGATTTTTGCGTCAGAGAAAGTTACCTGCGTGGGTCAGGTGATAGGGCTGGTTGTGGGGAAGGACCAGGCCACGGCGCAGAGAGCAGCCAAACTGGTGAAGGTCCAGTATCAGGAGCTGTCGCCGAAAATCATAACGATCCAGGTAACAAGACCCGTACGGTTTAGTTTTCTGGGGTCTTAAGAAATCAGATCGATGAACGAATAATGATCTTTGCTCAAATAGTTTTCTGGAAAGCAAATATTGCTCAAGGAAGAAATTATTCCTATTTTTTTTTCCAAAACATGTATTATTCCAATAATCTCATGTCTACATACTTAAATGATCGCGCAGTACATGCCAAAGTGTGTATTGATGAAGAATTGATATGAAAATATGTTTCTTTCCTTCCTTGACCCCCCTAGGACGCCATCCGAGAGAAGTCGTGGTGGGGCCCTTGGAACATCAAGAAGGGTGACGTCGAGGCAGCCCTGGCGTCGTCCTCCAACGTCCTCGAGGGCGAGCTGCACATGGGCGGCCAGGAGCACTTCTACCTCGAGACCAACGCCCACCTCGCCGTGCCCAAGCTCGAGGACGGGGAGATGGAGCTGTTCACGTCTTCCCAGAACCCGACGAGGACGCAGGAGCAGGTGGCGGCGGCGCTGGGCGTGCCCTTCAACCGCGTGGTGTGCCGCGTCAAGAGGATGGGCGGAGGCTTCGGCGGGAAGGAGTCCAGGACGACCGTGGCGTCCCTGCCCGTCTGCGTGGCGGCGGCGGCGTAGGTGGCCAGAAGTTTTGCGAAGGATCTGAGCGGATTTCTGACTTGATTTGTAATATGATTGGATCTCTGTCGGTTGTGACGAAACGACACACACACACACACACACACACACACACACACACACACACACACACACAACACACACACACACACACACACACACACACACACACACACACACACACACACACACACACACACACACACACACACACACACACACACACACACCTCCTAAAGCATACCTAAAACCCCTGCCGTCCCACAGCCTCCAGCGCCCCGTACGCATGATGCTGGACAGAGACGAGGACATGCTCATGACCGGCAACCGACATCCGTTCTTGGGCCGCTGGAAGGTCGGATTCACGAACGAGGGCGTCTTCACGGCCATGGAGATGGACTTGTACGCGAACGGCGGCAATTCGTACGATCTCTCCGGTTCGGTCGTGCACAGAGCGATGTTCAGTATGGATAATGCTTACAAGTACGTCGTCGCGATGTTTCTCGAACGTGCTTTGGGAGTGGAACATTTTGAGAAATATATTTCGGCTTTTTATAACCATTCTTGAGCTTACTATTTAGTTTATTTCTTGAAGTATATCCTCGTCCTTTTTCTTCCTCTGCTTTTTCTTTCTTCCTTCTACTCCTCTTCTTCTCTCTTCTTCTTTTTCTTCTTCTTTTCTCGTCGTCTTTCTCCTCTCTCCTCCTCCCCTCCTGGTTTTTTTCGTTTCTCCTCCTCCTCCTCTCTCTTCTTCTTCTTCTTCTTCTTCTTCTTCTTCTTCTTCTTCTCTTTTTCTTCTCTCCACTCCTCCTCCTTCTTCTTCTTCTTCTTCTTCTTCTTCTTTCTTTTCTTTTCTTTTCTTTTCTTTTCTTTTCTTTTCTTTTCTTCTTTTCTTTTCTCTTTCTTCTTTTTCTTTTTCTTTTTCTTTTTCTTTTTTTTCTTCTTCTTCTTCTTCTTCTTCTTCTTCTTCTTCTTCTTCTTCTTCTTCTTCTTCTTCTTCTTCTTCTTCTTCTTCTTCTTCTTCCTCCTCCTCCTCCTCCTCCTTCCTCTTCTTCTTCTTCTCCTTTTCTTCTTCTTCCTCCTCCTCCTCTTCATCATCATCATCTTCCTCTCTCACAGATGTGAGAACAGACGCGTGACGGGTTATGCCTGCAAGACCAACCTTTCGTCCAACACGGCTTTTCGAGGCTTCGGAGGCCCCCAGGGGATGCTCTTCGCCGAGGACATCGTGTCGAGGGTGGCGCATTATCTCCGGATGGATCCATATGAGGTGGGGTGAAGCTGGTATAGTTCGTTTTGTTCTTTCTTAGGTGGAAGCGGTGTAGTAAGGGATATAACTGGTTTTATATTATTCAGTAGAAAGATTTTAGTATATTTCTTTTTGGTGTTTTATTTTTTTATTTTTTTACTATTATTATTATTTTTTAAATTCGGTAGAAAGATTTTAGTATATATATTGTTGGCGAGATTGCAAAACAGTGGTGTTTCACTGAATTTCATGTATGTTTTGTGGAGGCATTTGCCTGTCGTGAGAAATATGAAAACCAAGATTTTACAGACTGTCTTATCCAAACAAATCCTGTATTTTGTTATTAAGCAATACGCTTCTTTCTTCCCTTCCCTCGCCCCCCCCCCTCTCCCCTGGTTTCCTTTCCCCTTTTCTCCCTCCATCGGGTCTCTCTCCTCTGCCTCCGTCCATCTGTCCTTGGGTCTCTCTCCCCTTGACGCCCCTCTTCCTCCTCTTCCGGGTCACTCACCCTGTGCTCCCGCTGCTTCCTCCCCCTGGTTCCCTTTCCCCTTCCGTCCGTTTTTTGCTCCCCCGGGTTTCTCTTCCCTTCTCTCCCTGCTCTCTCCTCCGGTCCCCCCTCCCCTTTATTCCACGCTGCTTCCTCCCCCGGGTCCTCTCTCCCCTTTCGTCCCCGTTTTTTGTTCTCTCTGGTTTCTCTTTTGACTCCTTGCTCCTCCTTCCTGTGGCTCCCTCTCCCCTTTACTCCACGCACCTTCCTCCTCTGGGTCCCTTTCCCCTCCACCCCTGGGCGCGTCTTCCACTACTCCCTCAGGTGCGAGCAAAGAACCTCTACACTACCGGGGACTCGACTCACTTCGACCAACTGCTGGAGAAGTGCAACGTCAGGAGGTGCTGGGAGGAGGTCACCCACCAAGCCGATTACCACAAGCGGAAGGAGGCGGTGGACTTGTTTAACGCGTAAGGGAATGCGAGGGATGTTCTGCAGTTATGATGTAAAGTGTGAGGATGTAGGGACGATATGAAATGTTTACCTCTCTGGTAAATTTAATTGGTGAAAGTAGAAAGTAAGCAACAGATTACGTAATTGACTGTTGTATATTGAATTGCAGAACAATGAATCATGTGTTCTCCCCACCATCTCCCTCTCCCTCTCCCTCTCCCTCTCCTCTCCTCTCCCTCTCCTCTCCCTTCTCCCCTCTCCTCTCCTCTCTCTCCTTCCTCTCCCTCTCCCTCCCCCTTCCCTCTCTCCCTCTCCTCTCCTCTCCCTCTCCTCTCCCTCTCCCTCTCCTCTCCCTCTCCCTCTCCCTCTCCCTCTTCCTTTCCCTTCCCCTCTCCATCTCCCTCTAAACCCGTACAACAATGTCTCCAAAAGCCACTCCACCCTCCACAGAAACAACAAGTACAGAAAGCGGGGCATAGCCGTCCTGCCTACTAAATTCGGCATCGCGTACACCGCCGTGTTTCTCAACCAGGCCGGGGCGCTCGTCCTGGTGTACACTGACGGCTCTGTCCTCCTCTCCCACGGGGGCACCGAGATGGGCCAGGGACTCCACACCAAGATGATTCAGGTTGGTGTGAATGGCTGGTATTTTTGTGTGGTATTGATAATGATACTGGTAATGATGATGGTTAATGGTGATGATAAGAATAGGGATAAGGGATGTGGGGGTGATGATGCTTAATGATAATGGTGATGTGGATTGTGGATGATGATAATGATAATTGTCTTGGTGATGATGATGATGATAAGATTGGTAATGATGAATCTCAATAGTAATAAGAATAATGGTGATGACGATGATAATAATTGTAATGAAAATGATGATAATAGTAATGATGATAATGATAATGATAAAAAATACTTGTTATTACAGTAATAAAGATGATTTTAATGATGATAATATTGATGATAATAATAATAATAATAATAATAATGATAATGATAATAATAATGATAGTAATAATGATAATGATTATAATAATTATAATAAAATAATAATGATGATGCTAATGATATTAATGATGATAAAAATAATAATAATTATAACAATAGTAGTAATAATAATAATAATGATTATGATAATACTACCAATAATAATGATAATAATAATGATTATTAAATGATGATAATAATGGTAATGATAACAATAATCACGATAACAACAGTTATACGTAGATTTCACCCTTCACTTCCTCCACTCCACAACCTCCCTTCCTCCCTCTCTCTCCCTCCCTCGCGCCTCACCCCCTCACCATCTCCCTTTCTTCCCTCCCTCCCTCTCTCCCCCTCACCATCTCCATCCCTCCTCCCTCCCCTCACCATCTCTCTCCCCCCTCCGTTTCCCTCATCCTTTCCTTCCCTCACGCCTCACCCCCTCCTCACCCTCACCCTTCCCTCCCCCAGGTGGCTGCCAGAACCCTCAAGATCCCAGCCTCCAGGATCTTCATCGCCGAGACGAGCACAGACAAGGTCCCCAACACGTCTCCCACGGCTGCGTCTGCGTCGTCAGATCTCAACGGAATGGCGGTTTTGGTACGATTTGGTCTCAGTGATTTGTTGATACGCTTTTTGGATGTATGGGAATATGTGGGTATGTGTGTGGTGTGTGTTTGTGAGTGTGTGTGTGTTGTGTGTGTTTGTGTGTGTTGTGTGTGTGTGTGTGTGTTTGTGTGTGTGTGTGTGTGTGTGTGTGTGTGTGTGTGTGTGTGTGTGTGTGTGTGTGTGTGTGTGTGTGTGTGTGTGTGTGTGTGTGTGTGTGTGTGTGTGTGTGTGTGTGTGTGTGTGTGGTGTGTGTGTGTGTGTGTGTGTGTGTGTGTGTGTGTGTGTGCGTGCATGCGTGTGTGTGTGTATGTATGTATGTTTGAATGTGCGAGTATATGTATGTAAGTATGTATGTATTTGTCTGTTATTCATGTATGTATTTATCCATATAATGTTTTACTTATTTGTTTTGGGGGGAGTTGTGTATTTTTCTTTTTTATGTGTTTTTGAAATATTGTGATAGATATTTTTCCTTGCGGTTTCTTTTTTCTTCCTTTTTCTCCCTTTCCTTCTCTTGTTCTGATTTAGTTGCTTTTAGCTGTTTTGGTTTCTTTTGTTATTCTCTTCTTTTTAATATTTGTTCTCGTTTCCTCTTCTCTTTTTTTTTCTCAAAATCTAAATATATACCTCGCCCAAAACAAAATATAGATTGTTTTTTATCTTCAAAATATTTATGAAAGGTGCAAATAGATAGATTGTGTAAATAAAAAATAGATACATAAATACGAAAATAAAACGAAGCAATAAAGTAAGAAACCAAGTAGTCAGTCACAGCGTTAGCCGAACCCTGCACATCCGGCCGTTTGCAATAGGAACAACGAAGGGAAGAACAAGAAAACACACGAATATGCCGAAGGCCTTTTCGCTAATGCTTCGTCAGAGAGCTACGCCTTCAGGCAAGAAGATCGGAGATATCGTAAGAGACAAGAGGTCAAACCACGACAGACCCCTCAGCCAGATGTACAACATACCCTGAGGTGGTTATGATAAAGTCTACATAGGTAAGACAGCACGAGGACTGCATGAACAACGAATCAGCCAACGCCGCAGCGCTCTCCGACGCCACGACACGATAAGCGCCTTCGTTGTTCACGTAGACACCGACGGTCACCTCCCGAAGTGGTCCCAGTTCTCCATCATAAAGCAAGGCCTGGCCCCACGACAAAGGAAGATGGTGGAAGCGGCGTTCATTCATACAACAGACAATATCAACACCGCTACGGGGAGCCACGAACTATCCAAGGTCGTCGCTCACGTGATTACCGACGTGACCTGACCGCCTAACATTTGTACAAATACTCCTCTATGTACCTCTTGTCATCACATGAGTTAACTAGAAATAGTTGACACAGGCCGGGCCACTCCAGAGAAAAGGCCCGGGCGAAGCATGACCGCAAATCTAACTGAACCGAACTCTTGTCATGTATGCCCTGACGAAGCATTAGTGAGAAGGCCTTCGGCATATTCGTGTGTTTTCTTGTTCTTCCTTTCGTTGTTCCTGCTGCAATCCGTTCTCCATGAATTCCACACATCCGGTAGTACACTTTACTATGAACCAATAATTCTATTAGAAATCATGTCTTTCTATTTTTTTTTTGATGTTTTATCAATTCAGTGAACTCTTTTGCAACTGATTACGTCTTTATTGAAATTATATAGTTCATGGCCTTTCCGCCATTTTATGAAAAGAGTAAAATCTCGTGCCCTTTCTCATGTTCCCGCCATTCTAGCAACACAATAAGGTTTGGCGATTTACGATCTTCCACAGTCAAGTATTCTCCGCCATTTTATTGATATCATGAATCCTTTCGCCGTATTTAAAATTTTCCTAAACTTTATCAACCCTTTACCTCCTCCTTCCCTTACTCATTAATCAAAACTTCCTCCATTTTATCAACCTTTTCCCCTCGCCCTTTTCACCATCCATTAAGTCTCCCGCATCCACACACAGAACGCTTGCAACACGATCATGCAGCGGCTGGAACCCTACATGGCAAGCAACCCCAAAGGAAGCTGGGATGACTGGGTAAAAGCGGCCTACTTCGACCGGGTGTCTCTGTCGGCCACGGGATTCTATAAGTAAGGTTCTATCTGTTTATTTTATCGTTTCAGTCATTTGTTTTTTGTTGTCATCAATGTTAATTCATTGGTTTGGTCGTTTATATTTTTTGCAAGGGTTTAGGTTATGGGAAAGGGTGGTGATCGGTTGTGTAAATGTCATCTTCGAATACACTTCCAACTCGAGTATTTTACCAAACAGCAGCTGTCCGTTCTTTTGTTTTTGTGTCTTATTATATCTAGCGACTTTGAGAGAGAGAGAGAGAGAGAGAGAGAGAGAGAGAGAGAGAGAGAGAGAGAGAGAGAGAGAGAGAGAGAGAGAGAGAGAGAGAGAGAGAGAGAGAGAGAGAGAGAGAGAGAGAGAGAGAGAGAGAAAGCGTGAACGAGAGCGAGAGTGAAATCAAGAAAGAGAGAGAAAATATATAATTATACAACGTTCATTGCAGAACCCCTGACATTTCCGGGTACGATTTCGAGAAGGGGGAAGGACGGCCGTTCAATTACTTCAGTTACGGAGCGTCTGTCTCTGAGGTCGAGATAGACTGTCTCACGGGTGATCACTCGGTAAGTAGACGGGAGAGAGTGGGGAAGATAAAGGGGAAAGAGAAGGGATGGGGAGAAAAGGAGGTAGAGAAAGAGAGAGGAAAAATGAGAGAGGAATGAAGGGAGAAAGAGAGGGAAGAGAGAGAGAACAAGATAGAAGGTTGAGATATAAGAGAAAACGGAGATTAGAGAGAGAGAGAGAGAGAGAGAGAGAGAGAGAGAGAGAGAGAGAGAGAGAGAGAGAGAGAGAGAGAGAGAGAGAGAGAGAGAGAGAGAGAGAGAGAGAGAGAGAGGGAGGAGGGAGGGAGGGAGGGAGGGGGGGAGTATTGTACATAGATGTATGAGAAATAACCGGTTAATTAGAACAAAAGTCTGGGGGAAAATAAAGTGGTGTAGAAAGCAATATATTTAGATTAAGAAGTAAAGAAAAATATTGCACTCAAATTTAAGATTACAAAACATACGCAGACACAAGTATTCAGAAGCAATGTGACGAATCGGAGTGCTCTAGATGGGTTTTGCCAATCTTCAACCTTAATACGCCATCGCTTTCTCCGCCGTGGCCCCGAAAGGAGACATACCCTCAGCACCAAAAAGGAAAATACCCTCAACACCAAAAAGGAGAAATGGCAAAGGAGCCTCAACACCAAAAAGGAGACATACCCTCAACAAAAAGGAGACATACCCTATACCTCAACACCAAAAAGGAGACATACCCTCAACACCAAAAAGGAGACATACCCTCAACACCAAAAAGGAGACATACCCTCAACACAAAAAGGAGACATACCCTCAACACCAAAAAGGAGCCCTCAACACCAAAAAGGAGACCCTCAACAAAAAGGAGACTACCCTCAACACCAAAAAGGAGACATACCCTCAACACCAAAAAGGAGATACCCTCAAAAAAGAGACATACCTCAACACCAAAAAGGAGACATACCCTCAACACCAAAAAGGAGAAACCCTATACCCTCAACACCAAAAAGGAGAAATACCCTCAACACCAAAAAGGAGCAAAAAGAGACATACCCTCAACACCAAAAAGGAGCCCTCAACACCAAAAAAGGAGAAATACCCTCAACACCAAAAAGGAGAAACCCTCAACACCCAAAAGGAGCCTCAACACCAAAAAGGAGACATACCCTCAAACACCAAAAAGGAGAAATACCCTCAACACCAAAAAGGAGAAATACCCTCAACACCAAAAAGGAGAAATACCCTCAACACCAAAAAAGGAGAAATGCCCTCAACACCCGTATCACTCGATCTATTCTTCCTCCGTCTCTCGCAGGTCCTCCGCACAGACATCGTGATGGACGTCGGCGACTCGCTCAACCCCGCCATCGACATCGGGCAGGTGGAGGGCGCCTTCGCTCAGGGCCTCGGACTCTTCACCCTAGAGGAACTCCGGTTCTCCCCCGAGGGCGTGCTGCTCACCCGTGGCCCCGGCGCCTACAAGATTCCAGGTAGTGTTGGTGTTAAGGAAGATGATAAGAATATGAATTATTAATTCTGATGATACTGAGAATGAGGATGCTGATAATATAAGTAATATAAACTATAAGATGTACAACGAAACTGGTTATGGCAATGCTAATGATAAAAAATATTTATTTTGTTTTTAATATTTTTTTACGTTATCAAGATCACATTGATTAAAATAAATCTACATTATTTTTTCGCAGTCATTAATACCACCAGACCAAATACGACCATTGGAATACTTGATTTCTTTTCACAAACAACAACAATAACAGTCTCTATGTCACTTAGAAACGTCACAATCATTAAATTAGTCTCAAAAACATTATTTCTTTTGTATTTCGTAGGTTTCCAAGATATTCCGCGAGAATTCAACGTGTCCCTACTCCGCGGGGCGCCCAACCCGAGAGCTGTCTTCTCGTCCAAGGTGAGGAATGCTGCGCAGAAATCGATTTAATAATAATAATACCTTTTTGTGTTATTGCGATAAGGGCATCGGTTTGCTAAGATGATGTACGCTTTTCGTGTTGTATTTCGTAAGATTTGAGTATTCAAAGGTGTTACACAAAGTATTTTTTTTAGAATATGCTCATGAAGGATTCTGTATTACTTTTACATCCAAAGCCATCTTTACTTTGATGCACAGAAATTGATTGTGGTTAATTATTTTGACAAGTACCGTCATATGACATTTTCGTTTATCACCTAAATCAAACACTCTATTATTTTCATCACCCAGACTGACCATTTTTTGTCCCCATAACGCAAATCAACCATTTTCTGTAATCATAATCTCTCCTGTATCAACCACTTACTTTACTTTTATTGTCACGCAAATCAACCACTTTCTATTATTATTATCACCTGATTTGATAATCCATCATTATAATCAAAATCAACCACTTTCTATAATTACAATCCTCTAAATGAACCACATACCAAAATTATTACCTAAATCATTTAACCACCATTTATCATCGCAATCCCTCTGACCAACCACTTTCCAAAACAAACCCGTCGCCAAATGGGGTAATTTGTTTCCTATAAAAAACAGGCTGTCGGAGAACCCCCTCTGTTCCTCGCGGCTTCGGTGCTCTTCGCCCTCAAGGAAGCCGTGGCCGCCGCTCGAGCCGACCAAGGCCTCGACCCCGTGTTCCGCTTCGACTCCCCGGCCACGGCTGAGAAGATCCGAATGGCCTGCCAGGACTTCCTTACGCAGAAGGTAAGGATGGAAGGGAAGGCTGGGCAGGGTTAGGTTGTGGATGAGAGTAGTCTGAGGTTGATAAGGGGGTTGATAGCAGTAATGGGTAAAAAATATGTGTGATAATGTCTAAGGTTGGGGTTAAATGATGCTGGAAATGGTGGTGGATTTAAGAAGTGGCGTTAGCAGATGGGTTTTGATTAGAGATGTGGCATTGCTAGTAGCTTTAAATAGAGATGTGGTAAAGCTGAGGAATCTAAATCAAGTAAATGATATATTGTATTGTTGCATGTAAAGCGCAAAAGAGGACTAAGTATAATTAAGCTCATTATCCATATTTTTCATATTTTTTTCCTAGTCCACGCCTCTCAGGATTACACCTATAACTCAGATCACAAATACGCAGGATCCCATGTATATTTCATATGAGTTATTGATCGTTTCAGATTGAGTCGGCTGCCCCGGGTACATTCAAGCCATGGTCGGTGACGGTGTAGAAGCGACCACCTCCTCGCCCCCTCTTCGCCCCCTCCCCCCGCTTGTTAATGCTCAACATTTTTACCATTATCACGAAGAGAATAGAAAAATGGTGATATTTTTTACACTTTACCTGAAATGCTGTTACGAATAAATATGAAGTTTTATTTTGTTCTTTATCGTTGTTGTTTTAGGTGGGCAAGTTCGCCTCGTGAATGGGTAGTAATATGGGTTTAATTATTTCGCTGCTTTTTCTCCTGCCTTTCCTCTTCCACCGTTTCATCGCTTCCGTATCCTCCTCAGTCTCCTCATCCTCAATTTCGCCGTTTTCTCCT